CAGGGCCCCCATGGGGGGGTCACAGAGCTCCCAGGGGGGTCCATGAGGGGCACAGAGCAACCACGGGGGTCTGTGGGGGGTCACAGAGCTCCCATGGGGGTCCTTGGGGGGGTCACAGAGCACCCATGGGGGGGTCACAGAGCACCCATGGGGGTCCTTGGGAGGGTCACAGAAGATCCATGGGGGTCACTGGGGGGTCACAGAGCACCCATGGGGGTCCCTAAGGGGTCACAGAGCACCCATGGGGGGGTCACAGAGCTCCCATGGAGGTCCTTAGGGGGGTCACAGAAGATCCATGGGGGTCACAGAGGGGTGACAGAACATCCATGGGGGTCCCAAGGGGTGACAGAGCACCCACGGGTGCCCTCCAGGGTCCTCCCAACACCCCCAGAGACCCCCAACATCTCCAGGGTGTCCCACCACCTCAGGCTCTCTGCCATCGCATCCAGCATCCTGAGCACCCCGAGGTGTCCCCCAGTGGCCCCATAGGGTGCCCCCCCAGCACCCATGGGTCCCCCCAACATCTCCAGGGTGCCCTTAACACCCCCAGTGGCCCCCAACATCTCCATGGTGTCCCACCACCCTCAGCACTCCTGGCTCCTTGCCATCACACACAGCTTCCTGAGCACCCCGAGGTGCGGCGAAAAGCCTGGTGGTCCTGCAGGACCAGCTTGTAGGAGGTGATGCAGACGTGGAAGGCGTTGGGTTTGGTCCAGCCCTGGGAGGGGGGGCAGCCAGGAGGGTCAGGGGGGAGGGGTCGGGGGACCTTCTCCCCCCCGAGGAGGGGTTGGGGGTCACCTGGCGCTTCAGCCGCCGCTCCTTCTGCGCCCCGTAGTAGGTGAGGATCTTGAAACTGGGGCACCAGCGCTTCAGCTCCATCTCCCAGTTGAGCATCACGCTGGTGGGCACGATGATGAGGTGGGGGCCCCAGCTGCCTGCGGGGAGGGGGGGCGGCATCAGGAGAGGGGCTAAGAGGGCACCCATGGGTGCCGGGGAAGCCCATGGGGACCTACAGGTCCTATAAGGAGCCTGCAGGACATGTGGGTGCTCAGAAAGCCCACGGAGATCTTCAGGTCCTGTAAGGAGCACCCACGGGGGCTCCAAGAACCCATGGAGACCTTCAGGTCCTGTAAGGAGCCTACTGCACCCACGGGTGCTCCAAGAACCCATGGAGACCTTCAGGTCCTATAAGGAGCCTGCAGGACATGTGGGTGCTCAGAAAGCCCATGGAGATCTTCAGGTCCTGTAAAGACCCTACAACACCCATGGGTGCTTAAAGACTTCGTGAAGACCTAGAAGAATCCTACAGCAGTCACGGGTACTCAGGGAATCCATGGAGACCTTCAGGTCCTATAAGGAGCCAACTGCACCCACGGGTGCTCCAAGAACCCATGGAGACCTTCAGGTCCTGTAAGGAGCACCCACGGGGGCTCCAAGAACCCGTGGAGACCTTCAGGTCCTCTAAGGAGCCTACTGCACCCATGGGTGCTCCAAGAACCCATGGAGACCTTCAGGTCCTATAAGGAGCCTGCAGGACATGTGGGTGCTCAGAAAGCCCACGGAGATCTTCAGGTCCTGTAAGGAGCACCCACGGGGGCTCCAAGAACCCATGGAGACCTTCAGATCCTATAAGGAGCCTACTGCACCCATGGGTGCTGCAAGAACCCATGGAGACCTTCAGGTCCTATAAGGAGCCAACTGCACCCACAGGTGCTCCAAGAACCCATGGAGACCTTCAGGTCCTATAAGGAGCCTACAGGACATGTGGGTGCTCAGAAAGCCCATGGAGATCTTCAGGTCCTGTAAGGAGCACCCACGGGGGCTCCAAGAACCCATGGAGACCTTCAGGTCCTGTAAGGACCCAACTGCACCCACGGGTGCTCCAAGAACCCATGGAGATCTTTAGGTCCTATAAAGACCCTACAACACCCATGGGTGCTTAAAGACTTCACGAAGACCTAGAAGAATCCTCCAGCAGTCATGGGTGCTCAGGGAGTCCATGGGGATCTTCAGACTCTCTAAGGAACCCACGACACCCACGAGTGCCTGAGGAGCACCTAGATGAGCTCTGAAGACATCACGAACACCCCACAGCACCCGAGGACAACCAAGACGGGCCCTACAGACCCTACAGAAACCCCAGGGCACCCAACGACAGGGGAGATGAGCCCTACAGAGACCCTCCACAGCACCCAAAGGTACCCAAGGAGCTCCCACCCTCCCAAGGCCCGGGGAGGTCTCCCCGGGTGGGCTCACCCTTCTCGCAGGCGAGGTGGGCCAGGAGGGAGATGGTCTGGATGGTCTTGCCCAAGCCCATCTCATCGGCCAAGATGCCGTTGAGCTTCTTCTCGTACATGGTGACCAGCCAGTCCAGGCCGATGTGCTGGTACTCCCGCAGCGTCCCCCGCAGCAGCTGGGGGATG